CTTTTCAATGTTTTGACACTTTGGTTTCATATGCTGTTGAATGATAAAACTCCATTGATGCCAAAGAGTGGCTAAGATATTTATTTTGTATAGATTAAAATCACCGCCTATTGAAGAAATATGCAAAATACTTGTTAATGAAAAGGTTCAAAACAACAACTGAGGAAATATTTTACTTTTGCCAATATTTACACATATCACTCACATTTCTCGTACATATATTCAGCTTATTGTCAATTCTGGGAAAAATAAAAACTAAAAAGCTGTGCTGTATACGGCCAAGCTAAAGTCTTTATACTTTTGACCACTAATGAAGTGAACAGTGCGCAGAAACAGACCGACTGATAGGTAGGACTAAATGGGTCTATCTCTTTGCCTTCTGATACTTAATACTTCGGACCGACGTATAAGTATAAGTTTGACCATTTCGTGGTTTCAAAAGTACAGGGCAGTATTTCGGCAGCCGCCAAACTTGTAATTAATCTGGCAACTACTGAAGCATTTAACAAAATTTCTAAAAAAAAAAAGGCAAGGATAAGGTCGGTAAAGAATATTGGGTGTACTGTGCATCATTGTCAAATATCCCTACTGTGAGTGAAAGTTTAGCCGAAGAACCGTGTATATCTATTTCACGACGCTCTCAAGAGAGAGAGACTTTTCTGCGGCATATCATGTAAAGTAAAAAGTTCGTTCGGTTTTTTTTTGTAGTGATTTTTCAAAATTTAATCTTGTGTACATTTGTTCCATTTAAGTCAAACATGTTGCCAACGTGATGCTATTGGCAAGAATGTTGGAGAGCCAATTTCCACAGGCCTCTCTTGAGGCCAAATTCTCACCATTAAGCGCGTTCGCCATGGACAGGCAAGAATGGTAGTCACTTGGCGCCAGGTTCGGACTATAAGGTGGGTGCATTAGGACTTCCCATCCGAGGTCCTGGAGCTTCTGGCATGTAACCAGAGATGCCTTTGTTGATCAAAGATGACCTCTTCTGAATGTGTGCTTCTGAATGGAAATTCGGTCTATCATGTTTTTTTTGCGTTAGTTCGTGTGGCACCCAAACATCGAGCTTCTTCTTGAATCATCTCTGAGATAAAAACCGAACGAACTTTTTGCTTGACCTAATATTAAGGCGTATTTTGCACTTCTACATCCATATCAAGTCCAGTTCACGCAACAACTGAAGTCCCTCTGATCACTCACAAGGCCATACATACAGTGCAGAGGAAAGAAAATTTTCTAAAATAAAAAATATTTTTCAGCGATGTGGCACAATTTGTACTCGGGGATATGTAAATATAAAAAATACTCGGAATTTGCGCTGTAAAAATTCTGTAATAGTCTAACTGTTGCGCTTCGTGGCTGGGAGGTACAATTGGACTTCATGTACATCTTGGAAAACGACAAGTTTCTAGGTGCGCAGTTACAGCCCGGGGCTATATCCACGTCGGGAGAGAAAGCTTCAGTGGAGCCATTTCGACTTATTCGGTTTAAGGGTCCGATGAAGTCTAATAACAGCATCTGTCCACCAGAGGTCAGGTTGCGAGCGAGCGTCGATATTGAAACGAGCGGATCGATATGGAAATGTTTTGGTTTAGCGCTGAGTTTGGTACTCGCCACGGTCAAGTGAAAAAAAATTTTGTACCTCAGTTCAGATGCATGCAACTCAAGGTAGTTGCGATCCTAATGGGACAACAAAGAAGTGCGATGGACGGGACAAGGACAGCAGAAGGTGGGTCCGTGTGTAATTTACAACAGCGCCATATGAGCAAATTTGGACAATACTAAAAGACTAAACGTAATTACCTGAAGAATATTTGCCTTAAATTATTTTTAATTCCATGCTCAATCTTTTGAAACCACAATCTGAACCAAATCAATGGATGGGACAACGACGGAAGTAGTAAAAGGTAAAGAGAGTATCCACTATCAGCAAACAAACAGTGATCGCATCCGCAGTTCGGCTACCGCCTCACTGTAGACAGTCATAGCTTTGAAGTCATAGATTTCGTCTATCTAGGAACCAACAGTCTGGAAGTCCAGCGCTGAATCACTCTTGCCAACAGGTGCTACCGTGGACAGAGTAGGCAGTTCAAAAGTTCTTTTCCGACAAGCTCTACAAGGCCCTCATCGTTTTCGTCCTGCTGTGCGAAAGCATGGACGATGACAATATCCGATGAGTCGGCTCTAGGAGTCTTCGAGAGAAAAGTTTTGCTAACGATTTATTATCCTTTCGCGAACATCGAGTTCTCTCTAAGGTTTATATTTTTCATTTCAGTTCATCTCTACTATCCCTTGGTCACAAAATTTTGTACAAAAAATGTTGCGCTTTGAAAAATGACTAGTCGGTTTGTTTAATATAGGCGAAATTGATAATTTGTCGGTGCTGATCAGATCGGTCCTTTATGACATACAACTGATTTGTTCGGTTATGAGTTTTTTTGGGCAGAAATATGTACAATAAATTTTAGTTCAATACGAAAAGTAAAGCAAATAGACTTAAAAACCTCTACTAATAAATTATTTTTTAGTCTATTTCATTTTTTAATTTTTTATTTTTATTACTTATTTCTAGTTTTTTGTTGTATGTATATCTAAAAAATATCTATATATGTATTTGAATGGCGCTGAAGCGATTTGAGGCCGAGCTCCTTCTACAATTTGTGGTTTTCAGTCTTGATGATTTTTCCAACAAATGGAGCCTCCGAACGGCTGATGGTTTTTTATGAGGAGCTTTGTTCACCACTCGGCTTCAACGGCTGCAGCATTACTTGACATCAACATGTTTAAGTGGAAGTTTTTATTTAAAATTATTTACTCCATTTTTTTTCATTACAGTTGAGTTCAGAGCTCACAGCGGGAAACCCAATAAATGCGTATAAACGTTTAACTATTTATTTTATAACAAAGTGAAAGCATTTAATATAAAAATCTACTTTTCCCACTTGTTTTGTCAGCTACTTATTCGCTCATCCACTTAAACTTGCGCACGATTGAACAATCGAATAAAACCACTTCGAAATCAAATGTAATTCAATTTAGTGACGTTATGCGATTGTTGTGTCTACTATTTTGTAAGCATAATCGTCTGGCGAAATGAAATCCTTGAAGAGTGTGGAGGCCTTTTACCGTAACAAAAGAAAATGAGAAAGTCCTTGTGAAGGCATACCAGACATTTTTTTTTTAAACAATTACATATATATATTTAAAAGTTTTCAGTTTCTGCATATCTCATAGTAGGAATTTAAAATAAAAATACTCCTGATATATCAGGTGTACAACTTTGCTTCCGCCGTTTTCTCTGGTTGAAATACATAGATGAGTGAGTGTGGACAGTGCCTAACGAATTGCCATCGCCATTTCAGTGACAGTTGTTCTTGTTTTCGTATTATTCACGCTCGAAAATGTCCGTTTATATGCCTAATTCTCGCCTTTTACGGGAAGTTTTACTTTTCTGTTACACTTCGAAAAAGAATGCAGATGAAGCGCATCGAATGCTCTCCGAAACGGTGATGCTGCTCTGAGTGAAAGAACGTATCGTGAGTGGATTCAACGTTTTAAAAAGGTGATTTCGATGTCGAAGACAAACAAGGTTATGATTTGTATTTGATGGGATCAGCTCGGTGTGATTTACTACGAGCTCTTGAAACCGGGTGAAACCATCACAGAAGATCGCTACCGAACGCAACTGATGCGCCTTAGTCGCGCGCTAAAAGAAAAGCGGCCACAATATCAAAAGCGACATGACAAAGTCATCCTCCAACACGACATTGCTCGGCCTCACGTCACAAAAGTGGTCAAAAAGTACCTGGAAACGCTGAAAGAGGAGGTCTTGCCCCACCGGCCGTATTCCCCAGATGTCGCCCCTTCAGACTTCCACCTATTCCGTTCGATGGCATCCGGCCTGGCAAATCAACATTTTCAATCCATTTGGCAAAATGGATTGCTTCATAGATGGCGTCAAAAGAGGACTCTTTTTTTCGAGCCGGAATCCGAAAATTGCAGGAAAGATGGGAGAAAGTTGTCGCTAGCGAAGGACAATACTTTGAATAATATATCTGTAAGCACTTTTTCGCAATAAAGCTTTTAATTTTGAAAAAAAAAAACGGCGGAAGCAAAGTTGTACACCTGATAAGAAGTCCGATGAGGAGATGAGGAGATTTCGTTATCTCCTAAACAGCTGTTACTTTACTATACAACCAAATATACCAGGGATGTTATCCTATGATGGTCTAACCCACCTACGTGCCAAGAGCTAGCCGAAGGCATTCAAGATTCAATAAAACTAATATTTCCTTAAATTTTGAGTTTTTCCTCAATAAGTCCTTTTTACGCTTTTTCCATTTAACTCTTAACCATTAAACCAACCAATTCCGCTAGCAAAGTTTTATAAAGAAATTAACACTTAATAAGATTGCAATCTCAAGACAAAACAACAACATTTGCCTTTTATGAAAATTATTTGCAACTTTTGACATACATTTAACCGTTAAAGCGAGCGACAACGAAGGTATGCACAGAAATCATGCCTCAAGCCATCGAGTTGATCAAATTTAATTTCAAACTTTTAATAGCCTCCCAATGTCTCCGAACTCGCTGCGGCGGCGCTGAAGTTTGCCTGGGCACGTGCGGTCTTAAGTTCGATTTCCCTGAGGCCAAATGTGGAAAGATGCAAAACAAAAGCGCAAGCAGCTGCTTATTATCTTCATCTAATCCATATACTTTTATTCAATTTTATGGCTGTTTATGCTTTTTGTTTTCGTTTTTCACCAGGGAAGGCGTGGCTGTGGTGCAGCCATAGAAATTTGTTGACAGTAACCGTGCTGTTGTTGGTGTTGGTTTAAGATTTCATTCGCAGTTAGGCTGCTTAGTTTTGGATTAAGTTATTTGTGGTTTAATATTGTTTATTACAAACACAAACATTTATTTCTATGGCTTGTGTTTAAGTGACTTTAACTGGTTGACTTAGTTGAAAAAATGTATGACTTGCTCTTCTGTTGCAGTGTCTGATTTCACCGAAACCCTTTCCCATTTATACGAGGAACATGCAACTGCCCTACAAACTTTAGTCTCCAATTTTCGTAAGAAGAATGCTGAACTCCGCAAAGAGAGGTAAGCGGCACTTGGGGTTCCGATATAAATTTGATTTAAATATTATTCACTTTTATTATATATAATAAATTAATGTTTTTTAAAGTAAATTTCCTTGCTTTATTTAATTTTTTCCTTGAAATGGGTTTTAATTGATTTTATTCTCTCTTATTTTTTTTTATTTTTTTTTAATTTATATTAATTCCCAATATTTTAGTTTTTTTAATTTAGTTTGAATTTAATTTATTTATTAAAACCTTTTGCTCACCTATATATTTTTAGCTCATTTAAATTTCTGTATTTTACTTGAATTTGTTTTCTTCCCTGTCTTTTCATTTTGGTATTGTTTGCCTTATTTAGTTTTAATAAAAAAAAGAAATTAAATTTTTACTTTATGTTTTTTATATTATTTTAAATCATTTTATTTTACCTTTTAATGATTTATTCTGTTTTATTATTCTTATTTTGCTTTATTCATTTCTATTTTCATATCATTTTGTTTCATTTTATTTTATTGCACTAATTTTTTTTTATTTTTTATTTTTTTATACTTTATGTTTTATTTTAGTGATTTACTTTGCATTCTTTCAATTACTTTTTAGTTATTTTGGTGTTGGTTTTTGGTTTTTATTTGATTTATTTTCATTACATTTATTTCAGTTCATTTTAATTTTTTTATTTTAATTTTTTTTTTAAATTTATATTACATATCTTATTTATATTATTTAAATTATTTTATTACTTTACATAACTTTTTTTCATTTTCTTTAATTTCATTTTTATTTTATTTCATATTTCTTTAATATTTTTTCTATTTAACTTAATTTTGTTTTATTTATTTAAATTAAATTGCTTTATTTTTGTTCTATTTGCTATAATTCATTTCATTTTGAAGCTATATTTTATTTGCTTATTTTTATTTTTTATTTTATATAAAGTATTATTAACTTATTTTCGTTTATAATAAGTAATTTTATTTTATTTTACCCATTTTATATGCTAAATTTTATTTATTTTTATTAACACTCATTTTGGATTTGATAATATAATAAATAAAATAAGTAAATTATATATAATTTTTTTTTTATGTTTTATTTCATCATACTTAATTTTTTTCAGCTTACTTCATTTTGTTTTATTCTGTTTTATTTGATTTAATTTAGTTTTATATTACTTATTTTTCATAAAGATTTTAAATNTTTTATTTTATTTTATTTTATTTTATTTTATTTTATTTTATTTTATTTTATTTTATTTTATTTTATTTTATTTTATTTTATTTTATTTTATTTTATCTTATCTTAGTTTATTTTATTTTATTTTGTATTATTTTATTTTATTTTATTTTATGTTGTATTATTATATTTTATTTTATTTTATCTTGTTTCGTGTTCTTTTATTTGATTTTATTTTACTTGCTTAATTTATTTAGTTTAATTTTTTATATGTTTCAAACATTTTTTTATTTTATTTCATATATATTTTGTACTACTTTATATTTATTATTATTATTATTTGAATTAAATTTATTTTAATATCTAGAATTTTTTTTAAATTAATTTTATATCAGTTTGCTTGTTGTGTTTTATGTAATTTGTTTTATTTTAGTTAAATTTTTTTTTAAAATTTCTTATTTTATCTTGTTTCGTTTTTATTTTATTTTATTTTATATTTAACTATTATTTTTGTTTTTTTATTATTGTATAAATTATTTTGTTTTATTTTGTTTGAATTATTTTGTTTATTAAGCTTAAGTTTTTTTTAAGATTTTACTGTATTTCATTTTGTATTATTTCATTTATATTTGGTACTACTTAATTTTTTTTATTTGAATTAAATTAAATTTAATTATTTATATATATTTTTTAATTAATTTTATATCTTTATTTTTGTTGTATTTTATGTTATTTTATTTAATTTAGTTTATTCTTTGTTTGTTTATTTTTTATTTATTTTGTTTAAGTTAAGTTATTTTATTTTTTTTACTTTGACTTTATTTTATTTGACCTTTTCCATTTTTAAATTATATAATTTTGTTTTTCTATATATTTGCTTTGATATCACTAGTTTAATTTTGTTCAATTATGTTTTATTTGGTTTTGTTGCTGTATTTAATACTAATTTTATGAATTTTTTTTTGTCTTTATATTATATTGCACTCCTGTGTGATATTTATTTAATATTTCTAAATAATTTTTTTTATATATTTTTAACGTATTTTATTTAAGTTGAATATTCAATTTTTTTTTATTTCTAAACACTTTTTTCTATTTTTCAGACCAGCCTGTCATTTAGCAATTTTCCAAGCATGGGAAGCATTCCTACAGGAGGTCGAAACCGATTCTCAGGCATCCAACGATGTGGCCAACGTGCTGTCGCGCCAGGTTAGCCTCATAAATCAAACAAAACCCATTTGGTTTGAACATGTGTTTTAATGAAGTTGCAGCTTTAATGCAACTGTCAATGTGGTGATGACATTAAGTAGGCGTTTACTGCTTCATTAACGGTGTAATAATATTATCATTAAATGCAGTCATGTCACTTCTCATACCGACATGTATGCTCATGGGCGCATGGCCTTATTTGTTAAACTGCGGTTGTTATGTGTTTACTCGGCCAGCAACCGCAGCCACAGTCACCTCAGTGAGTTGGTCGAGAATGCACACATGCTATTTACCCTTTAGGCGAGTTGGCTACACTGAAAGTGGCAGGTTGAAATAGCCTACAGTAGTAACTCACGCATGTGATATACTTGCATGTCTGCGTTAGTAGCAGCGAATCAAAAAAATAAAAAATAAATTTACTTTCAACATTTTCATATTTTTCATAAAAAAAAAATTTGCAATTAAGTTCTCTATTTCAGTTTTGAAATAAAAGTTAATAGACAAAATGTAATTAATAAAACTTATAGTTGCATTGATTAATTTGTGCTGAGAATTTAATAAAAATAAGAGCAGTTTTGCATTATTGATCCAAAATTTGTATAAAAAGGTATAAAATTTGGTACTGATCAACAACCCAGATATTTTCAAAAACATTGCCTACTTTTAGGCATATTATTAATTTCGTTAGTTGCGTATACGCCGAGACAAAATATTATCATTATTTTTCTACTGCAACCGCTCTTGGGGTTTTAAATAGCTTTTAACAACGGTTGAACTTACAACAACATTTTTTAAAACTGTACACAGAAATACCAGCAACTGCAACAAATCGCCCCGAAGCTGTAAAATCAATTACGCGCAAGAGTAATTACTGCTTAAACATATCTCCAAGCCGTAATGAAAAAATTGTACTATGTATTTTTATTTACCGTTAAACAAGCTTATTATTTGTATACACCTTGAATAAACATTTGCATGTAACTTTCCTTTGCAGGTGTCACGTCCAATGCTCGATAAATCCTTTCATCGTAAAGTTCAAAGTCGGAAAATTTTTACACACAGGGAGTCCTTTGAGACTATTATCGCTAAGACTGAAGAGAAGCTGGCGAAGGTAAGTAGAATATTAGAGAAAATATAAAAAAGAAACCAAGTAATGAAAAGAGAACGCGAAAAGAGCATAAACTTAAAAAAACTAGAAGCATTTATGGTAGGAATTAAAATAAAATGTTAGGCTGAACAGCAGAGCTGCCATATTAATGCTTTCGCTTTCGGAATTTTTTATAATTTCTTTTTTGTAAAAGTGGCAATGAACGTAGATAGTCAATAAGGGGAATTACAAAAGGCAGATTTTTAAATGCTCTTGTGCGGCGCTGAAATATCTCACTCACTACATAAGCTGATAAATATGGATTGTGGGATAGCTATACAATGCTGAAGACAGAACTATAATATATAGAAAAAATATGTGAACCAATATATATATGTGTTAAAAAGTGCATACTTATATCCCATTTGTATCATATATGTATGGCCAACATTTGCTGGCATGCAGGTAGCCATGTTCACTACACTTCGTACGTGCCACTGCTGCTATGCTGCTGGGCATTTCCTTAACACTTTAAATATTTAAACTGCATTCCGCATAGTAAATAAATGATAAGGAAATAGTGAGAAAGTGTGTAAAAAATAAATGCGAAAAAATGCTCGACTTAAGCAAAGAAATGTTAAAATGCTGAAAATTTAAATCCATTTATAAATATACAACTTGCTCAGGGGACTTTTTTCGCTAAAACACTCCTCTTCTTGTGGCGCTTACATGGGAAGCTACTTACAGACATACACCCCTATACATATGCGCATATGTAAGTGCGTGCGGTTCTGAGTGTTCGTTTGAGTGCAGCTTAAGTTGGCTTACAACACATTTACTACTGCAACAGGCATGTGCATTGCAGATAATATAATTTATCAAGAATGAGGGAAGCAAGTACTTGGAAGGCACCGAAGAAAATGCATTGAGTTTGTAGTTAAAGATGAAGTGGTTTCTGTTTTGCTACTATAAAAAGAAAAAAAAAAAACAATTGAAAATAAAACAAAATATTATATTAAAAACTGAATAAGATTTTTTATATATAATATAATTATTTAAGCAATAACTAATGAACAATTTGAAATATTAAATGAAAAAATAATGAAATAATTAAATCAAAAAATTCAAAATAATTAAGTGCCAAAAAAATAATAAATAAATAAAAGCATAAAGAATAAATCAAAATATAAATAAAATAGCTATTGATATTGATAAATAAATAAACTAAAGTAGAATCTTTTAATAAATTAGAAAAATTAATAAATAAGAAAAAGTAAAAATTTAAAAAACATTAAAAAATAACTAAATTAAAATAAATATGTATAAATAAGTGTATAAATAAAAAATCAAAAGAGTGAAAAGCATATAATTAATTAATTGTTCTTCATCTTCTTTACTGGCATAGACACTGCTAACCCGATTATAGCCGAGTTAACGACATTGCGTCACTCATTTCCTCATTTTGCAGCTCGACATCAATTGGAGATACCCACTACAGCCAGGTCCTTCTCTAACTGATCTTTGCAATGCTTCCACTAGCGGGTACTGCTTCGAAAATCTTCAAAGCTATAGAATTCTGAACCATTTATGCCACATGACCTAGCCACCGCTACCGCTGTTTACTGATTTCCTGAGCTACGTCGCCGTACATCTAATACGGCTAATCGTTCCATTGGTTGCAGTATTCCCCACAGTCAATGCGCAAAGTACCATAAATCGTTCGAGAAACTTCTCTAATGAACACTCCTAACGCCGACTGATCAGATGTTGTCTTCGTCCATGCCTCCGCTTGTAGATAGATTTTGGTCTTTCTCCGCCGAGAAAGAACTTTACTTTTCAACTGCCTACTCGGTCCAAAGTAGCACCTGTTCGTAAGAGTGTTTCCGCGCTGGACTTCCGGACTGAAACGGTTATTGGTTTAAATACTGGTTACACAATAGATCCAATTGTCTACGACCTGAAAGTCATAAACTGTAATTGAGGTGGTAGCCAAATTGCGAATTCGATCACTCTTTGTTTGATGACAGTAGATAATTTGCCTTTTCTTTGTTCACTCCTTTCACATTCTCTCCGCTTTTTTGTCTTGGAAAAATCGGAACTAACAAGACGATTGTCAAGACCCTTGATATCAATGTCATCAGCGTACGCCTGCAGCTATACACTCTTGTTAAACGTTGTTTCTTGCCTAGCTAGCTCTGTAGCTCTTATTGTTTTCTCTAGCAACAAATTGATTAAATCGCAGGGTATAAAGTTACCCTGTCTGAAACCTCGTTCGGTATCGAGTGCCGGGGGAAGCTTCTAACCGATGCTGATGGAGCTTTTGGTGTTGCTTAACGTCAGTTAACATAGCCGTGTAAATTTTGCGTGTATCCTGAATTCAGACATTAGCTCGTAAAGTCAGCTCCTTTTCGTGATATCGTGTCGTGTGGATCGTCATTTCACGGCCCTCTTTAAAAATTTGGCTCATAATGAATATCTCATCAATTACTGATTTACCAGGCCTGAAGCCACACTGATATAGTCCCTTCAGATAGTTGACGGTGGGTTTAGTCTTTCACACAATATGCCCTTTAGAACTATTTATCCGATATTTAGCAGGCTAATCTTACGTTAATTGGAACAGGCAGTTCGATCCCTTGCTTTATGAATTGGACGGAACGCACTTAAATTCGAATATTAGAGCATGCTTTTATCCGAAAAAATATTCTGCAAAGAGGCGGATGCATGCAGCTTGCTAGCTCTTTTTCGTCATGTTTAAAAAGCTTAGCCCGTAAGCCATCCGCTCTATCCGCTTTGTTGTTCTGGAAATGAACAATCGAGGGGTATAGAAAGTTATTTCCATCGCCACCGATTGGGGTTTCGGGTTCGACACATTCGAGTGTTGCATTTTGGCAACCATGCCGATGCTGATACCACCATAGAGCAGTTATGCTCGGGACGTCAGTTACTAGACCAACACAGTGAACCTTATATGGCGTACTCCTATAAGGTTCACTGTGTTAATCTTGAAATCTTTTGGAATTCGCCACACATTTTCATAGGATTTTCGGGTGTTATTCTTGTTGGCCAGTTTCACAAGCAGGATGTGGCTGTTTTTTGCCGTTCTAAAGGATCGGCACTTTCTTTCGGCACATTGTGGCGTATTTCGTACTTTGACTTAAATTTAAAGTCTCACAACAACGTCAACTAACACCAGCTGACCATTCACACGCCATACAGATATCGAGTAGGTGCGTTAGCGTTAAAGCACATTTCTCAAAATTAGCCTATTTTGTTGTTGCATTTCGGGCTCCAAGAATGCTCAACTAATTGAGGAGAGACCCTCTATTTCTGAAAGTCCGACGCTCATGAAGATACATAAGTTCTATCCTGAATTGATATTCGCTTCATACTCAGAAAACATTGATGAGAGTTACCATTCCCAAGAAATTTGCGGAAAGAGCACTGTCTAAGCAGCTACCACTGACAATCAATACTGAGCTTTGTATGGCTTCTGCGGAAATTCAATAAAAATTATTTCCAATTGCTTGGCTTGTTAGCCTGACTTTCCTGTTTTCAATACGTACTCTCATAAAAGCTGTGCAAGATATATAAGATATTTTTATAAGGTTAATCGCTCCGCTAAAACAAAGTCTTCATTCAATAAAAGTGGCCTTAAGAAGCTTAAGTAAGCTGCAATAAGCGTCAAAGGTGTCATCAAAAGCGTTAATTTTTGTTTTTTCAGTCAATCAAAAAATTAAAATATTTCATTGCTCAACCCTCTTCAGCACAAAGAGAGTTTTTCTCAGCAAATTAAACGCATTTTCTTCCAAATTTTTATGTCTTTCTTATTGTGAATTGGTGTTTTTTTTTTGGTTTATTTCCAGTGTCGCTTGGATTACAAACAATGCTACTTGTCGCATCGTCAAAATCCCACACAACTTTCACTCACCGAATATATAGATGCACACAATGCGTATGTGCAACAGTTGCATGCCACCAATGCCATGTTGGAGTTGTATCACTGTGAGACGGTGCCGCAATTAATGCAAGAACTGGAGGAGATACATAATGATTTATGCAATATTATTGCCGAATCTATACTACAGGGTGCCGATGTAATAGCAAATAAGGTAAGTGGTAGAGTACTAATTGCAAAAATGAGACAAATTTTTGGGTGTCCACTGAAGTATGGAAATGTCTGCCGGAAAAACTATCAGTTGTTGGCTAGTGTCTAACTGGTTAGCCTTTATAAATTGTCCATTTATGCAACAGCTTCAGACTAGTTAAATACTAGTTAATTTAGTTATGTTGAATTTCTAATTCTCCAAACATAAAAATGAATTTATAAATAGAAATAAACGAAAGAATAAATAAAATTCAAAGTGATTACCTGTAATCGCTCGGCTATCTTGACGATGGTGCGAGCAACATCCTTTGGCGTGCTCCAAAGGAGTGTAACAGAGAGTAAAACTCCGCTGTGGCATGCTATATTCCATAACCAAATACTGTGGTGGAAATTGTTACTATTCGCGTTTCAGCCGAAAGCCGATGTTGCTAGCGCTGCGTGCTATAGTTTATAATAAGATTTGTTATGTTAGCTTCAATAAATATATAAAATTATTCGCGTTACTGCTGAGCTGCTATACAAATAACCAACTGGTATGATTTCATCTTCGGAATGCTAAAATCAAACTAGAATTTTTGGAAATTAGTCTACTTTTTCTGCAAGGATGTGCTATAGAAATACGAAGAAACTCTATTGCGCAGTACTGTCTGGGACCCCAAGTGCTAAATATCTAGCGACAAATCGCATGTAAATTCGTTTAGTCCATTCTTCAAGTAGAAACAAATTTACCAATAATTCCATCTCAAAACCGTTGGAAAGAACTTTTGAGCACCGCTTTTGATGAGTGTAAAAAGAAAATTCTAAGAATTAATAAATAGAAAATTCGACGTTTTGGCATTCAATTGTAGAAGTGAAACCAGGAATGTTTCGTTAAAATCCGTTTCGAGAATTTCGTTGTCAATGATCCGCCCCGTTTTGGTCGGCCAGTTATTCAAGAAGGCAATTTAATTCACCTACTGATATAGTACGACCGCAATGCAAGCTGCTTGAAGATAATCAAGGCAATCTGCATCCCACGCGTAACAACTTGGAATCACCAAAAAAAAAGGCTGATAGCTCAAAAGAGCTCGATGCCTGAGCGTCACAAGCTTTAATGCAAAAAAATTTGATTGATCGAATTACCATTAGTGAAATGCTTCCGAAACTCGACAAAATCGAACCATTTTTTTAAATCGCCGCGCTAAAATACAAAAAGGAAAATTGTGGTCTAAAGACAGTTACTCTCCCGAAGTGGCAATAAAACCTGAATTAACAGCAGGCAGGGTGATGTATAGACTCTGCTAAGCTTCAATGAGTCAGACAGTTCAAACTAACCTAATCCACAGTGGTACTGGAAGTGAGATTATCATTATGTTCTGCTAAGTACTACTTCTAGGGGTTGACCTTACTTTGACTGCGATATACTGTAGCCTACGATTTGTGAAACAGAAAAACAACGAGTTTTTCATGACTCTGGGAAATCGATTTTTCGCTGGAGCTGACTACTATGCGAAACACACGTATTGGGGTTCGAGACTAATAAATCCAAAAGGTCGACAGTTATATAAAATGATTAAAAGTACCAAAAATATATGACTTCATTGGCTTTGCGGTCACTAAAAACTTAGATAGGGGTTTAGTATTAGTTTAGTATATTTAGAAACCTGTGCTAGCTTATCTTCTGATCATTCCTCAATAAACATTAAATTGACGGAATAACCAATTTAAAATGAGCATGTTTTTTTTCGACATGCTACTGGCATAAATAAAAAATAAAAAAAATAAAAAAAATACAAAAATACATAAGCATACAGACATATCCGGAAAAAGAGAGTGCATCTGATATTGAAAACCAGGGGTACTTGTGTTCAACAGCATGCTGGCAACAGCAACAACTACAGCAACACCAGTGCAGGAAACATAATCAAAAACCAGAATATGAACAACTAAGACGGCAACAGAATTGTTGGTTCGAAACAAGCGAACCTTCCGATCGCCCGATGCAAATATCCGACTAAATATGGCAGAAAACCAGCTAAAAAAGGCATTAAGATGTCTTTGTCTCCCAACACTTATACTAAAAAAATGGCTTTGACAATATAGTAAAAACCTGTTGCCACCTTTAAGGGACACACCTAGTGTAATAGCCTGAAAAAAGGTGGTTTTTGGGAATTTTTATTAAAAAAAAATACTTTATCAATTATTTAATTAATAAATAATAAATAAAATAATAAATTTTAAGAATATATTTATGCATGTTTCAAGAATATAAGTGAAATTTTTGAAGAAAAACATTAAATATTTTTAAAGTTATAGTCAATATCTAAAAGGTCCTTCACTGCTGCAGTGATGCCGGCCTTCTCCGTGCATGAAATCTAAAAAAAAAAAATTCCCTACTAGATATTAATGTCTGTACAATGACCTACGATAAAAAAAAATCAAAAATTGACAACACAATCGAATTTTATCCAAAACTTTGGTCGGTCATCGGTCGGTGGATCAAAAATCGATAGGTCATTTTACGGAGAATTTTATATAGAACTTCTAAAAAAATTCGATAGTAATCGGATCATTTGTTTTTGAGTAGTCACTGCAGCAAATTCGGAAAATGCTGTTTCGAGAAAATTCGTTTAAATATAAAATGATCGTTTTCACTCGTAGCTGTCTAGCTGCCGAGCGACTGCTCTTTAAATTGCTATAACTCAAAAACTTTTTGAGATATTTCGATTTGGATTTTGGAATTTTAAGATGCTAAAGGTGTAATCTACCGAAATTCGAAAAAAGATAGATTATTTTGAAATTTCACACTAGGTGTGCCCTTTAAGCATTGAAGCGCCGCTGAGACTACGTTACGGTTCATGAGCCAGAACGGATAAAGAAAAGGCTTCAAAAGTGCACCTTTGTCACCGAACCATATTGCTCCTAGTTACACTGTTACTTGCGGAGCATCTTTGTCTGAACTAAAAAACATTACTACGGCCTTAAGGCCAACAAAATCACCAGAAGACGATCGTATCTCACCAAAAATGCTAAAAAAAAACTGCCAGGACTTGCCTTCATTTTTATTGCAAAGCTTTTCAGTGCCATTTTAATACTTGAATCCATAAACCTGGAAAAAGTCGCAGATGAGCTGTTAAGCATTATAGCTTAACCAGGTGAAGATGCAACCTTACCGTCATCATAAAGACCCATCAGCCTACTGCCTTGCTTATCCAAACTTTTCGAAAGAAATATTGCTATCAAAAACTAATTTTTTCCATCAAAAATATATTATTCCTACATATCAATTTGGTTTACGGGAAAAGCACGCCATAATCGAACAAGTAAATCGTATAACAAATGAAATAAGGAAAGATTTCGAGTTCAGAGAGTATTGCTCGCCAATGGTCTTAAGGCCAGTAGCTCCTCCTCCTCCTCTTTTGTGATTTTGCGACTTTATGCTTTTCCAATATATGCTAGGACCTACAGTTTATACTAAGCCGCCTCCGAACGGCTGGTGGTTTTTTATGAGGAGCATTATTTCATGTCCGAAATATACTCGATGGGGTTGGCATTCCTTGCCGAGGGGCGACCGCACTTGGGAAATTGAACTTAATTTTTAATTTTACTTAATTTTCTACGACTTTTTGGATGTTAATACGACACCAGGGTTTTAAGCCACGCCTTCCGAATGGCAGTGCGCAATGCTACCCACTCGACTACCGCGGCCGCCGTGCTCATTACCAATGTATTTATCGCAAATGAATTTATAATATATTTTTAATTAAGTGCCCTTATGTGCTATATAAATATGTACAAGTTAACAATGAAAAAATCTCTTATTATAAATATTTATATTGATTTTCGGCGCGCACAATGATTGCAAATAAACCGAAAGAAAGTACTGGGCACAATGCTTACTTCCATACAAATAAATATTTTAAATTACACATTGCATATGCATTGATTACATTTATATATATATATATATATATATATAAGAATGCATCAAAAGTTGTCGTGCAGTGAGATTTTAATTTGGTCAGCAATAACAATAATTCTGTTATGAAAGTAGCTGACTGAAACTGAACTAGTCCGATAAGTACCAAATCATTATTATTCGTAGGTATTTCTTACTGCAATCTGCTTTAAATGACTGAAATGTCAACTTTTGACTAAAACAGCAACTTTTTGGCCCGATTTGATATTTATATTTTACCGATGTTTAATAAAAGTTATCTCTTTTTACAAAGTTATGTATATTTTGCTTCGAAAAAGTAACCTCCTGCCGTCTGCTATACTAGTTTCGGTCTAGGTCGCTTGACTGCAGGGTAAATGCACTCAAGCAGGTAATAATTTATGTACAACTGTTGAGTAGAGTTTTGAGTACAATTCAACAATTGTATATGCATGTGCGTGTAAAGGTCTGCTCATGCTTAATGTAAAGGACGATTTACATAAAATTTATTTGAGTGTGTCATATTTGGTTAACCATGAAAAAGATTGATTGTAACAATAACAAGGCAATTGTAACAGTATTACTGTGGTTATTATTATACGCAGACATTTGAATGAAAAACAAACGAATCGAGAGAAACGATCTGAATTTTAATTTAATTAAAACAGTTATTATACAATATATGCGGTTTCTATAGCCACATACAAATATACACACAATGTGATTGCGGCCACTTAACGGCACTACATGAAAACCTTAAGATTTTCAAAGATATATATATGTATTTATTTTTTAACTTTTTTACAGGCATCGGATCAAGCAAAACGTTATGGCGCACTCACCATTCAATGCAACACCGTTTCACCAATACAGGACCTCACCAATTTTGTACGCATTCTGCCGTTGCCATCGCTGGCGCAAAAAGTTCCTAAACGCAATTTTACGCCGCCACAGCCACCCGGCGAAATTGATGATAATGGAGATTTTAATGTGAGCTTTAAATGATAATAAAAATAAAACAAAATAAAATGAAATAAAATAAAATGAAATAAAATAAAATAAAATAAAATAAAATAAAATAAAATAAAATAAAATAAAATAAAATAAAATAAAATA